ATTTATATCTGTCTATTAATCTTCGCTTCTGAGGCCGGTCCTAGCATGGATATGCATATTGCGTTGCCATTTTATTTTTTTTCTACCTTGCATTTTGCATCTCATTCCCACTTCTTCTTTTTTTTTCTTTTCCCGGCACTTTTCTCACTTTCTTCCTATTCACTTTCTTCCGGATGTCCGGTGTCGACTTGATCGACGTTACGTGTTATGCCCAGTCAGGCACGCTTGACTTTTCTTTGGTTCAGGTCAGCGGGTGGGAGCATGCAGTTAACTGCGAATGACGAATGGTTTATTGTAGTATGTTGTCTTGTAGTATTATTGTAAGTATGTATACAGGGTATCGTAGAGTAGGTAGTAGGTATGTATACAGGTATCGTAGAGTACATGTTTACAAAGTCAAACGGCAAACCCCCTCGGCAGGGGCGCGACGCACCCCCTTTCTCTAAAAAACCGCTCAATCCAGATCTCCATCTTCTCCAGAAGATTACCCGGTCTAGTCGAGCCGTTCAGATGGTCGTATATCCCATCGCGACACCAGACGCTCCACGCCCCCATCTGCACGGCCATGAGCACGTCGGTGCCCAGTCGATCACCGACGACCGCAATCTCATCCGGCGACTCAATGACATGCCGCTCCGTAAACCACCGGATAACTTCCTGGCCGCAAAAGGGTTTCTTGGTCGCTCCCGCCGGTAAGCGAAACACAGGGATAGAGAGGTGATCGAGCTGGGCTTCTAATTCGGCGACTTCATTCTCGTAGGACGGGTGGCTCCCCGCCCTGTTGGAGACGATCAGGATCGAGTGCGGCGCTTTGCCCGCGTTGAAGGGCGAGGTGGGCGATGTGCGCAGCTCGGCTAGCTTCGCGAGAATCGGGGAGGGGAAGCGCGTCGTCTTCGCGGCGCACAGCGTGTTGTCTTTGTCTAGAACCAGGGCGCGGATGGTGGGTTGTTTCTTGGTTCTATCGGGTTGGAGGTGCGGGCCGAGTTGTTCGGGGAGGGAGGTAATTGTTGGGATGGTCAGGTGGGGGAGGAATTGGGGGGGGTTGGTTAGGAGAGTGTGGACGGCGTGATTGAAGCCGCGGAGATTAGTTGACATTTCTGCTAGATATATGTATATGTAGTGGTATATATGTCGATGTAGATGTAGATGTAGTGGTGAAGGCGGTCAGAAAACTCCGATCTTATCCACGACCTCAGCGTTTCCTCTATTAGCTATCCTCTTCCTCTCGTCTCTCTTCCTGTCTCTCTCCCTCTTCCTGTCTTCTGTCTCTCTTCCCCTTCTTATCTATCTCTCTTCTTCTCTTTCTCTCCCTCCCTCGTCTAATTTCTCTCTCAACATGGGCAAGTTGACCAGCACGATCGGAATCCCCATCAAGCTTCTCAATGAAGCGCAGGTGCGTCTCCCAAGGCAGTTCAATTCATGCGACTAACTTCTCAGGGACACGTCGTCACGCTCGAAATCACCTCGGGGGTGGTATATCGCGGGAAACTCCTCGAAGGTGCCTATCAGACCTACCTTTCATCCTCAAACCTACCCTTTCAGACCTACACACACACACACACAGCGCTAACTTACCCAGCCGAAGATAACATGAACGTCCAACTCAAGGATATCACAGTCACCGCGCGCGACGGGCGTGTCTCGCATCTCGACCAGGTGTACATCCGGGGGAGCCATGTGCGATTCTTCATTGTGCCTGATATGCTGAGGTGGGTCAGCGTCTTCTTCCCTTCTTATATTCTGCTTGTGTTTGTTTTTCTGCTTCTGCTTTATTATGTTTTATTCTACTCTGCTAACTCTTTAGAAACGCTCCTATGTTCCGGTCGCGAGGCCAGCGCGGACGAGGTGTCGGGTTGGCGCGCGGAAAGGCGACGGTACAGCGTGCGCGCGGACAGAGAAGGGGGTGATTCTTTTTTTTTTTTTTAATTTGTTCAATCTTCATGGTCATGGTCAATAAACTTCCAAGTATGACTACAATACCCGTAATGTAATAGAAACCGACATTGATATAAATATTCATAAAGTAGCTACTTGGATGCCTGAGTCTAATGTTGCTGATGCTTACGTCGCCCCGCAATCTCAACCAACTCGTTGAAACAGTATGCTTTAACTATGCTACAACTATAGTTACAACTATAGATACAACTATAGATACAACTATAGCTACCAAAACAATGACCGAAATCTCCAATCCGCGACGACTACTCATCCTCTCGCCACCTTCACACTCGCAGACCGTCATTCCGCCCTTCCTCAAATCCCTGACGGGTGTTCTTCCAGAGACAGAGACAGGCTCGTTCGCAGGGTACACGACGCATCCGGCGCTCCAGCTCCGAACGAAATATTACGCCGCGGACGTGCCCGTATGGGTGGACGAGATCCCTCTGGAGAAAGCAGCCCAGCAGACCTGGACGCACGAGTTTTCCGGCTCCGAGGCCCGGATCGTGCGCGACGCGATCGGCGCGGTGGCCGTGTGCGTGCAGAACCATGACGGGGCATCTGTGGAGGGAGTGAAACCACTCTTGAAAGCTGTTGGGGAGGTGAAATCCGTGATCGAGACGGAACGGGGGATGGGCGAGGTGCCCGGGTTGCTTGTTCTTGTTGGGAAAGTTACGGCGCCTATTGGAGAGGAAAGCGAGAATGAACCAGAAGACTTTACGAGTGCGTGGTGGGAGGATCAGCTCTGTGAGCTTGGCTTGATGGAGTTTGAAGTCGTGGTTTGGGATCCGAAAGGGAAGGATTGTGATAAACGCAATGTGTTTGGTGGTATGTCTCTCTTTCATACCTCTGCACTCGATCTTTCTCTCTGTGTTAACATTGTTAGAATACGAAGGAATGCGCCGGGTAAGAGAAGTCCTCGAAACACACGAATGGGAGGGAGATCAGCACCACGACGACGACTTGGAGAAGACTCTACTCGGGCTGGACGGGGAACAGCAAGGGTTCGAGTTGGAGGTCGACGAGCTCGAACGCGAGATGCTAGGCCTGCGCTTCGCGATGGGGCGGGAGGAATCCGGCGATGGGCAGGACGACGATGAGGAAATCAAGGCGGAGTCGTTGGAGGCGCTCATGGTGCGCATGAAAGCCATACGAGGTATTCTTCCCTTCTTCTCTTCTTCCCTTCTTCTCTCCTAACAATTCCCAGATATGAGTGCGGAGTTGCCTGTGGAAGAACGGAGAAAGTTCGCTGCTAAAGCGGTTGGAGAGATCATGAAGGAGTTATAGAGGTATGAGTAATGACTTTATGGATGTCTAATGTAGTCAAAATAGTCTAATGCATGCTAATGTATACTACACTTTTTTTACGCCCGCTTCTTCCCCCGGAGAACCTTGCGTCTCTGCGCAATCATGTGTGTGTAGAGAATATAAGAGCCTGGAATGGTCAGGGATTGTCTGGACAAAAAAAAAAGTATGCAATGGATATATACCTGGAATGTAAATCACCAAGGCGACGACGAAGAACCACCAGTATAAGGGGTGCAGCGCAGCGGCGCGGTCCAGCGACAAGAATATCAGGATGCATTCGCTCGAGATGCCGATAGGGTAGAGGATGTAGAAGGTGTTGTACCTGCAAGATTAGAGAGAGGCATAGGAGTAAAAGCTAGGCGGAGCAGAATATATTACCTCAGCCACGTCCACCAGGAAGGAACACCCTGCCCCCAGACCTGCAGAGCAAAGAAGCCGTAACGAATACATTCCGTGATCCCCCACGCGGCGAGACAGCCGAGGAAAGCCAAGTCGCCGGCCTGAGCGCCAGGCCCACGGAGGGCACCCTGGCCGTGCAGCTGGGTATAGTCGCCGCCAAGAACACCGCCATGGCCGTCACCGCGGTCGTGGAAGAGGAACATGACGCCCCAGACGAGCAGGAGACGGCTGGCAACCTGCATGGCGGTGGTGAAGACCGGGGCGCGCACGAGGCCGAGCAGGCTGTGCAGGATCTCGAGAAGAGCCATCGACTGCGCGGTCACGAGGAGAGGCGAGAAGACCTGCCCGAACACGGCGGGGAGATGGCCGGTCGGCGCGAGGAGGATCACCAGCAGCGCCGCGCGGAGTGTGCATGTTGCCCACAGCCCGAAGCTGACTGCGTTATAGGCCAGCAGGTAATAGCGGGTGAGCGGGGAGACCGCGCGCGGAGCGGAGGGGGGAGGAGCCATGGCTTAACTGTTAGTATACATGGTAAATATAGCAGAATATAGCTAGTATGTACTTACTGCGGCGTATATGGTGAGAGTCGGTTGCAGTGAAACAATCAATATTAGTTACTTCTCAACAAGTCAACAGTTCCAGCTCAGTTCGGTCACTGATCGGGCTAACTGTTTCTGGCCTAGCGTTACAGAGCTACAGGCAGTGGTTTCATTGGCTGGAAAAGCTTAGTCTTAGTCAGAAGTTTGCCTATTAGTCACGTGATATCAGCCGACCAGCCAGACTACTTTTGACCCTTTTCTACTCTCTCTGGCTCAACTTTCAGGCATCTTCAGTCCAATGAGTTCCCGGTCTCAACTGCAGTCATCACGCGCTGTTGGACCTAGTGTCTCACCTGGACTCGTCGACTCGACGATGGTTCTGTCGATAATTAATGTGCATATTCCACCTAGGAGCACTACTCCGTACTACCTAAACGCCGGTAGGCACCTGATTAACTACCACGGACTCTTACCTAGTATACTCAAGGACTTATGTTGTATCCGTACTGGCACATCTTATGGCACTTCCCCCGCGCCCCATGCAGCTTGATGTCATGCAGTATCTCACCTGCTAGTGATGTTTGCCTGCATGCTCATCTGGTGTGACATCTGACCATATCCCAGGATCAACCACGATGCTAGGGCCTTACCAGGGACCCCTAACCAACTCCACCATCTTCACAGACTGACTGCTAGCAAGTATAGGTAATCCTACTAAGAGTATGTAGTAGGTACTTCCTTAGGTAGTTATAAATAACTGGTTAGAGGTAGTTACTAGGTAGTTATGTAAGCTATTGCTATCCTTTTGTGCCTGAGGCACACGCTAGCCCGAAATCGCAGGCTCGACGTCAGCGGCGTCTCAGAATTGGCGGCTGGAATGGCCGAAAAGACAGAAACAGACAAACGGCTGCCCCGCTCCAACGTCATTGGCACCCCACAGGGAAGAATTTGGACCCGGCATGTTTTCGCGAGAGAAAGTGGACAGTGGACAGTAGGTACCTAGGTAGTAGTGGACAGTGGACAGTGGACACACTTGTAGCCAAACTATTATTAACTAGTACTGCAGTCTACATCTACATCTACAGTCTAGTCTACAGTCTAGTATACTAAATGGAGACTCTGTAATTAGGATTACTATTATGTACTCTATATTAAATTGGATATCACATTGATTTAAGCAGATGTACGGAGTATACAGGAACCACCAGAGACTCTTGTCTGATGGCAGAGTGACGTAATGCCAGCTTCTAGAAGCAAACAGGTTATACGAGACTGTACCTAAGTACCTAGTATATAGAGTATACTTACTTCATAATCGGATGGTCTGTTTAACTCCGATAAAACTACCAAACTATACTAGCAGTTACCTACTAGTTATCAACCAGTTTACTAATTATTTTAGGACATCCAGCTTCATGGAGCATATAGTTCGAGTCAGTTCTTCTGAGACAAATACATTTCTAGAGCTAGGTATAAAAAGATAATACAATAAGAAAAATAAGAGAAAGACCTATGTACTAGTAGATTAGTACTTACTAGTTATACTGTTACACGCATGACAAAAAAGCGAATATGGAGGGGCACGCCCAATCGTGAAAATCTCCCCCGCCTCGCCCTTTTTTTCCTCCTCAATGAATTAACCTCGCCTTTTTCTATTTGTCAACTGGTCCACTCGTCCTTTCCAGTTGATTATTATTATTGAACCTCTTGCAGTGTCGAGGGGATGCTTGACGCTCGCTACCTTTTTTTTTCCTCCCGTCCCTCTCTCGCGGCCTCCACCGTGACGAACTCCCCGTCGTTCGCCCTTTAGCCTCAACCCCTCCTTTCCCTCCCCCTACCCACTAGTTGTGCGTTCCACACCTTGAGAAGCACACGCCAGAACACACGGACAGGGCCCTCCCTCGACGAGAGAAGAAATATTCGTTAGTATTTGGGGATTGTTCCCGTGGAAGCTGTTTTATTCCCTGGCGTCCTACTCCCCCTCCCCTTTCCCCTCCTCTCTTCTCTCTCCTCTCTCCTCTCTCCTCTCTCCTCTTTTCCTCTCATTCTCCTCTCCTCCCTTTTTTTGCGCACCGCAACACCGCGCCGCCCTTCGCCCAGTGGAACCGCCTTGGGCAGTAGTCTCGCGTGCGTTCCACCCCGACGCTGGCCAGTTAGTACCTACGAACTATCGCCTGTGTATGTCACTTTGAGATCCTGAACCCCCCTACTACCCTTACCCCCCCTCTCCTTCTTCTTCTCCTCCTCCTCTTCCCTGCATCTCTCTTCTTTGTCCTGCATTACAAATCTCCTATTTTACTCCCACCTGGTTACGATCTCGTGATAATTCCCCTTCTCCCTCCTCTTTCCTTCCTCCCCCCCAATGAAGCTTTAGCCTCGGACAATGCACTGACTGTGGCGCACAGATAGTCCCCTCCTCGTGTTTCTTGGCTCTGAGCCGTTCTCCATTGGCTGCTGGTCATCGCCTTTTCCTAGCTTAATCACAAACATAAGGTGAATCTCGCCTCCACCTGTAGTCTGTCTGACATCTGTTCAACGTCTGAACTGTCACGCTCCCTCCCTCTCTGTCTCTCTTTCTCCCTCTGCTCATGCCACGATGCATCATATGACTCTTAAGATGGGACTCGGCTGACAGGTCGGAATAGATTCCACCGGTTCGCATATATCGTACACGGTACTCGTTGGATTTGACTTTGGCGTTTCGATCTTTTGTTTGGTGACGATTGGTTTTATTATACCCGGGCTTCCTTCTCCTGACGAACACACATAACACATATATCATCATACGCCATGGCACACACCACGACCACGAGTGCGACTAGCACCAGCACCGCGAGCACCGCCAGCACCGCCAGCAATGCTAGCAATGCTAGCACTTCTACCGCTACCCCCGCCACAAAACCGGTCAGCAAAACCGAGCCGGTGGAAGAGAAAGAAAAGGTATTTTTTCTTGTTTGGATAGTTTTTTTTTTATCAGTCTTGGATGGCTAATTAAAGAAGCCAAAGCCAAAGGAAGGCCCTCCGACATTGGCCGACTTTGGAGACCGGATGGACCAGGCCACCTTTGAGCAGATTCTCGAGATGGACGACGAAGACGACAAAGATTTTAGTCGAGGCATTGTATTTGGGTTTTTCGACCAGGCCGATACCACGTTTGAACAGATGGAGACAGCAATGTATGCTATTTTTTTTTTTTTCATTTTTGCTCCTTTTATTCCTTTTCTCTCTCCTTTCTAACGGGACAAAAAAAATACAGAAAAGATAAAGACCTCCTGACGTTGTCCCAACTGGGACACTTCCTCAAGGGCTCATCGGCAACGTTGGGCCTGAACAAGGTGCGGGATGCATGCGAAAAGATCCAGCACTTTGGCGCGGGCAAGGACGAGACGGGCTCAACGGACGAGCCGGACGATGAGAAGTCGCTAGGCAAGATCAAGGAGACCCTGAAGGATGTCAAGGAGGACTACAAGGACGTGGCGGGTCTTTTGAGGCGGTTTTACGGGGAGGAGGAGTAACCATGTAGTGTGTGCGCCTTTGGGTTGAGTTTGATTTTCGAAAAGAAGTTCTGAGCGAATTAAGCATTTGCTAGTGCAAACAGAATGGTAGCCATTGCGTGTAGTCGGGATTATGAATATATCGAGTCGAGTTGGGGGGTCTATTCTTCATCATCGGATGAGTGATTTGTAGTTGCCATGCATGTCAACCCATCTGTTACACAGTAACCAGACAGCTACTTGGGTTATGCTAGTTAGTAGTTACTTACTATACTACTCAATACAAGTGTAGGATTCTCTTTTAAGCATACCACCGAAGCAGTCAATGGAATGAATTGAATGAGGTCTGCATTTTATCTAGTATAAATACTAGTACCTAGGTAGAAACTGCATCATGCCATCGACAAACGGCCCCGGGTACCTACAGAACAGAGTCGACCGCCGAGTCTGAGGGATATCAGGGATAATATGACTTTTCGTGATTTTCGTTTAACGTTGTTCTCGTTGAGCCCTTATATCATTTTCGTTGAAACTAATACCATTTTCATGTGAGTGAGTAAATAAGAGATGAGAGAGATACATGAAGATATATAAATCTCAACCTCATCCTCAATCGCCATCAATCGCCATCAGAAACAAAAACACATCATCAGAACAATATCTTGAAATAAGCTCAAGCCGAAGCAAATGGCAGTCGGTCCTCGCGTGTCCAAGGAAGAATTCATGCGCGCTTTAGGGCTTGATGTGCGCAATCCCCAGCACGAACAATACTACAAAGCAATGCGAGTACGTTCACACCTATACACACACACATGTATATATAAGGTATATATATATAACAAGACAGGATGAAGCGATTGCAGTCTACAACAGGCTGAACAACGATGTATCAAGCCTGATTGATTCGGTGCGGATGGATGGAAACACTCGGCCGCCCTTCTTCTGGCACCATGTTCGAGCGGACAAGCAGCGCTGGGCGATTCTGGAGGTCTGGAGGGCCGCAGATCCGTCGATTCGAGGCTTGTTCGATGCTGGGGCGACAGAGGGAGAATATGGACCCAATTGGGTGAGTGGGTGGTTGCTTTATTCTGTTTTTCGGTCTAGGGATACGCGCAACAATCGACGGAAAGAGAAGCCGGGTAAGCCTCCTTGTATCTCTGGGTGTGTAAACGTTTATATTAACGATTCTAGGCGAACGAAAAACATACTATGATCCTGTTAGAAATGTATAGATAGATAGATAGATAGATCTATGAATCTTGTTCTTCGCTCTCCTTTGCATCCTTCTTCTCCTTCTTCTCGCCCTCTTTCAACGCCTCGATCACTCGCTCATCCTGCTCGTCTTGCCTCTCATCCCATTCAACATCGTAATCTCCCGCGATGGTCTTGATCTCTCGGCGCAAGGCATTGCCCTCGTCGATCAGCGAGGCCCACAGCGTCAGATCCACTCCGCGCATCGCGTACAGTCGTTTCTGGCGCGTGCTGATCGTCAGATCCAGCGCGGACCGGTACGAGATCTCCCGGTTATGATACAGAAACCACAGGTATCCGCCCATCAGCGTCGACAGGCTGACCAGGTAGGTCACCGGCTCCATGGTATCCCAGCCTAGCTCGGTCTCAAAAGTCAACCGGTACACCAGGTACCACCAGGAGGCGAGAATGCCGAACCCGCCGAGAGCCACGCGCTGCGCGCCCCGGTGCGCCAGCACGTCGCACTCGTGTTTCGTCGTCGCCAGGGCCTGCAGCCGCCGCGATAACTTGCGGAGTCGCATCCGGAGGAAGTATGTCCGCTCGCTGAACGACGGGACCTCCACGCATACCCGCCCGTCGCCTTCGATCTGTAGGAGGAACTCGCGCGCCCGGGCTGCGTCGCGGATGAAGTCGCCGATCTCGGTCGCGGGCGACCACCGAACCAATTCTGCCTCCTCTTTTTGCTTCTGCTGCTGCTGCTGCTGCCGCTGCTGCTCTTTATGTGTATATTTGTCTTTGGAGCTGTTTTCGTATTTCCTCGGCCGGATGGCATCGTTCTCCATCTGCAGAGCGAGAAATGAGACCCCCGGCGGACGCTGCTGGCCATCCTCTTTGATCGGGGGGACTTCGGCCTGGACCAGGCGTTCAAGATACGACAGTGGTTGCTGCGGGTGGACTAGTAGTGCGATCGGTTCATCTGAAGTAGCAAGTTAACGAGTTTGATGTATTTTAGACGTGGTTTCAGGAAATGATAGAACTTACTGTTCTGTTTGTGTAGGGAGGATATCGGAACGATCAGCTTGAACAGTCGGGAGGGCGTGGTGAGGAGTTTCCCTATCCTGTTAGTTCTTATTTTTAAGAAATATCAAGCAAGGCTTCCCTACCCTTGATCGAGTCCTTGCCAGCTCCCTCAACCGGGTGTTCCTTAACGCCCTGCCAGAAGGGACTCGGTGTATACCACCGCTGGTTACAGCCGTATCTCCATCGGATCGTCTCCCGGATCGACTGCGAGACTCGTTGCTGAGAACGGGGTACGACTGAACGGAGAGTGCGAGCAATCATGTCTATCAATTGTGTGGTTCATTATGGCAGAAATAGAAATAGAGACAGACAAAATATATTTCAAGTTTGTAGGCAGAGCTGGTAAACAGTTGTCGTCGATCGTTCAACTACGTCATCGACCAACAGCAGTGCAAACCGTGTAACATCAATCACACCGCAAGAGATAGATAGTAGATTAGATAGAGTAGGTACTATATCATGTCTTAAGTCTACAAATGTACTTGTTGAATTCAGCTACACCACTCTCCATGCAGTCTGTGTTAAAGCATTATCTATGCGGCATACCGTATGGCCATCATTCATGAACTCCTCATTTTCGTGATCTAATCGTGGCGTCGTGTCTGTCATTGAATCGTAACGGACCAACCAGTACTCACCACCTAGGGTGCCCTAGGTGCCCAAGTAACCAGGCAGGAACAGATAAAGGGGATTAAATCCCCTGGAAGGCCATATCGAACCTCCCATCGTAGCTTTCCGGACTACTGCTTCCCCCACTGCGACTACTGCTGCTGCTGCTAGCAGTCGTCGCAAGATCCTCATCGGCATACCGAGCCTTCCGCCCCGTTCCGATCGCCACGGGGATCCCCTGAACGACACCCCCATGATCATGTCCAACAGGGTACATGCCGTCGTTGACGGAGAAGTTGCGGCAGATCAGGTATGCGCGCATGGCGGCGTGTTCGCGGGCGAGGCCCTCGGACTCACAGACCCCGTCGGTCTGGTACTCGCGATTATTGACGCGGACGATACACGTGTACCCCTTGGCTGAACTGGGGTAGCTTTCGTACTGGGGTTCTGGCCAGCGGCGACGGCGGCAGAGGCCTGTCGTTTGGTTGTTAGCTTTGTTTTTAGACTTGTTTAGGCTTCAGTCTCTGAAGAATCGAAGAAATCTCGCGATTGGGGATGAAGAGAGGAGCTAGCGAATGCTTGGTTTGTTCAAGTTTCATCTGTTATGCAGGGACAAATCTTCACGTACTCGCCAGATAGAGGATATAGTACATCGCAGCCCAATGGGGACCCTTCGCACGGCACACAAGTATCGGATCAGTATTCGCTGCCTCGATTCGAGAAGGGTCCTTGGGAGGTTTTGATGCCCAACCCGTCTTGTTGTTTTTGTTGTCTTGCTTGTCTTGAGACTTGTTCGGTGTTTGCTTTTTTCTTTTCTTTTCTTTCCTTTTTCCTTTTCTTTCCGTCGCTGATGGGAATGCTATAATTTAGACAACTATAGGATAACTAAATGTAGCAGGGTTTTTTTTTGATCTCTCCTTTTTTTCCTTCTCGGAACTGATATAATATAGGTTATAATAATAGGTGCTGTTGATGTCAACAGTCGAACAGGTTAAACTGTCTCTGTCCAGATCAATTGACCAAAACAGGTGGGGCGTAAAGGGAAAAAAACAAAAAAAAAAAAACAACAACAAAACACTCAAGGATTTAATTAATTTTAATTAATTAATTATTATCATCATTGTTAGTATTCCTAGAGTTAAAAGAGGGGGGTGCATAGTTTGGCTCGCCGCCGTGATGCGCTGGCAGTCCTCATTGCCAGTAGATGGTAATACAGTACAAGCACTTGGTAGGCATAACTTAGTTGACTACAGGAACTAATTCTTAGTGAGGTCTTGGTTATAGTACTAGAGAGATATGTGTACTACCCAGGATCTCGTATCTAAGGAACATAGATATCAAGTAGTTATATAGTAACTATATAGGAGGTGTTTATGTAGTAGTTAGCTAGCTGTAGTTACTGTCCAAGTTATAGGTTACTCCGTACAATGGATAATAGAGTACTCCGTACATAGTAGAACAATACAGTATCTTGATCATGCTAGGATAGTCATTGATCTAGATCTGCATGTCGCCGGTTGCCTTGTCGCAGACTAAACTAGTCGTAGTGACGGGCGCTGATGCGTGATGCGTTGGCAGTGGGGAATGTCTGTGGCACGGTCACTTGCGCGGGAGTTATGAGTCCGGAATACGGAGTAGAACGGAATAGTGGGTGATTAGAAATTGAATAGAAATCATATTTGAGAAATGAAGTAGGTAGGTAGTAGATCGGTACGGAGTAGTTGGTTATGTAGAAGTCCTAATGTTGATATCGGAATCAATGACTTCATAAACCCTCGTAATCACTATACAGCCCGGTTTGGAATCTCAAATCCACCTCTGTTCCGAGCACCATGCGTGCATACTCGCCGCCGCCTGGTGAGGAATGACATACAGCGGGTGGAAGGCGGCGAGGCGGTCCCCCTCGCTGAAGACACTTGCGTCGGAGCTTGGCTCGGTCAACACTGCCTCGCTGGCTGCGATCCGCAAATACTGCCAGGAAAACGCAGAGTTGAAGGGTCCCGCCAACACGGTGCTGGAGTCTGTATGGTAGTGGTGATACTGGGTTGTGCTCAGCCCGGCGAGTGTGTAGCAGGTATGATACGAGTCTTGGTGTCTATCTGCATATCAGTATCAAAGACCAAGGGGGTAGATAGGTAGGCCTACTTTCCAGGTTTATCACGCAGTCCGCCATTCTTGGCCTGACAGCAGGACAGAATATATCGAGTCAGCCCTTCGCGGCTATATAGATTGCCGACGGCCAGCGTCGGACTGGCTGCAGACTGTCTCCCGTTCAGAGCGGCTTGGACCAGCGGCCAGCAGTTGCCCACCCAGTGACTGTAACAACCGTCGACCAACTTATTGGTTCTTCCCGAATATCCTCCCTCGGGGCCATACTGACGGGCTGACAGCCAGGACAGCAACAGCGGAACGTCCATATGCCTAGGGAAATGTGTCAGAAAACCATAACAAAAAAAAAGAAAATAAAAAAAGACGCTATAACGCTCGTGGAACCAACCGATTGATGGTCTGCTCCGGCTCGCCCAAGATGCACAGGCATGCGAGAGCACAGAATGCATATGCACCATGAGCCTCCGTCCCGGGGCTCGCAGAGATACCTCCCTCGTATGTCTGGCCTGATTTTGTCAACAGGGGAGCCCGGTCATACAACACGACGGTTCATTTCTTACACCTCGACAAATACTCTGCCAAGCCGCTCGTGAACGTCTCCACGCCGTGTTTCCGAGCCTCAGCGTCGGGGGGCAAGGTCAGTGGCAAATCCAGTAGCGAGATAATCACCATCGCACAGTATGCACCACTACTCATTAGCACGATCCTGTCCGCAGAAAAGGAAAAAGAAAGGAAAAGGGGGGGAAAATACCGCACGTCTTCCTCGCCACCCTCACAAACCCTGAAGCTCCCATCGGGCTGTTTCAACCTTCCCAACCACCGCCACCTGCATGAAATTTTTTAACAAAGGTCAGGCGTCATACACCCCTCCCAGGGGGGGGGGAATAAGGATACAATTCACTCACATTGCGGTTCGATCGACCAATTTGAAAGCGTCGTCACCCCCCACCATCGCCAGGGACAGAATGGTAGCATACGTCGGTGCACAGTGTGATATCTGACCGTGGCCGCCGCCGAATCCTCCAGATTGGTTCTGAATAGGTGTAAATGTCGCACAAACGCTGCAAGACCAGTTAAGCTCTGGTTCCCAAAAGAGAAAAGATAAATGGAGTAGGCCAAAAGAAAGAGAGAAAGGCAAGTGCCTACCGTCGTCGGAATTTCGTCACGTCCTCGCCGAGCAGAGACAAGCCCGCCAACGCCCAGTAGACCATCCAGGGCCGACTGGCATCCAACCCGACAAAGCCGGCGGGATAGTCCTCGAGCGAATCGTATAGGTAGGCTACATGGCTGTCACGCTGCAGCGCAGGCACGCCGTGCACGTTGAAGGGGGGTTTCTGCGCGGCCGCGGTCCCCTGGAGGAAAGGCAGGCAGACGTCGACCGTCTCGTCCTGGAGCTGGGAGGTTTCCGTGACGAGCGGGTCGCGAATCAGCGGACGCACAGTGAACAGCGTAGACACGCCGGCACGTGCTGCTGTGGTTGTCATTATTTTAGGGACAGGAGAAATCGCAGACGCAGACGCAGACGCAGACTCAGCCTCCCGCAAACGTCTGTCGAGATTTCCAGCTGCTGGTGCTGGTGCTGGTGTTGTCTGGGCAGGAAACTGAACTCTTCGCCGATGTCTTCCTCGCGCTGGGATAGGCATCAAGAGAGAGACCAGAGTTGGGAATTATTCCTCTCTCTTTCTTATATCTCTGTCATTTTTTTTTTATCCAGGAAGGGTATTCTTCTCTGCTGTAGATGCTTGTCAATGGGATTGATAATATTGTTCTTCTGCTCTGAATCACACGGTCGAGCCATTGTTCTTCTTTCCCGCCTTCCCCTCCGCCTCAAAGAAATATCCCACACGCCTCAAGGTTCTGGTTACTCTACTCCGTACAAAGAACTGACAAAAGACCGTCTATATTTTTTTTTTTTTTTTGGTCTCTCTCTCTTACTATGATTTACTCAGGGAAACACCTCTGCCACTCTCCGTTATCCTGCCCGACGAGATCGTCGTCTGGCAAGGACCACGACCTCTCGCATCGTGACAACGCATCCGACCAGCATTTCTCAACACAGAGAGCATAATAAGCATACGCCGACCGGGCAGATCATGCACAACAGAACAGGATTCCTGGGCTAGGTTTATTTTCGGAAGACAGTAATCTTTGTATTGGAGGGGAAGTACTCCGTATATATTCTTGTCTGTTGTACAACGTTGAGACCCGCATCCGATGGCCTGCAGCTGGCCGGTTGAACTCTCACCTCACGGAGGAACTAATTGCCAGCAGGGGAGTCTGTTTCTTTCTTTTCTTTTTCCTTTTCTTTTCTCTTCGCATCGAGGACTGGATCTATCAACTGATTCAGGGATTGCTCGGAATGACTTGCGGAGACCCGACATGGACACGCTGCAAGTCAGAGATGATTCTGATCTGTTTCATGCGCTTAACTTGCACGGTCTGCAGAGGCAATAATAGAAAAGCCGTAGTGAAGTACGGAGTACACAGAGTGAGTAACTACTCTGTATCGATGCTTAGTAGTATGTAGTAGTGTTATCATGAAGGTATTAGTAGCTACTATCTACTGCCTAGACAACACTCGGTCTAAACAACTAGAAAACTCCTTCGTTCTTAATAACTAATAAAAACTCAATAGATTTGCCTCTAGTCCTAGATGAAATCTTCGCCGTTGCCACACGGAGCATCCTAAATAAATTAACGACAACAAGTCTCGTCGCCAACCACTCGGACCAAACATGTGTGCAGCGCCCATTGAGCACTGACAACAAGTTGACTATCATAGGCGCTGATCCACAGCGGGGTCTGTCCGAGCATTATTGCCACTCACTTGTATTTAGAGAATACATTAGTTAGTTACAGGTAACTACCTACGGTAGTAGCTACCTAGCTTGCTGCTTTATGTCTTACTCGGAGTCCATCCTCCGTAGTACTCCGTGCTCCATAATACTAACTACCAACTAGTATAGTGTCCGGGTGATCGGGAGCCTCAAACGCAAAGTGGATGGTATGATCCATACCTGGGTTCGTTGATAGGCTCTCTTGCCGGCTCTATTCGCCTCGGGGGACTTGAAGACGTGCGGATTTCGGCATCTGCACGCTGTACGGTGTACCTAGCCTGTTTATGGAGTATTGTGATATATTTCTTGTTGCGAATCCTTGACTTCAAGACATGAGGTGTGGTCGACTTTTCCGTCTCTTTCCGATGCATAAGACAGTTGTAAGCGGTAGAGAGAGAGAGAGAGAGAGAGAGAGAGAGAGAGAGAGGGTCTCGAGAAGTATTCGGACATCTTGTGTACTCCGTACTGTTTCTCCGAGACCTGTATTAAGTTTCTGCAATGCCTCTGACCCGATGCTGCGCAGTGCTCATATCGCCATCCAGATCAAGTCGGCTGCAGTGGAAGAGACTATTGTCTGAGGCCACTAGACACTACTCCGTAGACACAAGTGAAGGCTTCGTCGTCAGTATGATAAGGGTCTACCTATCTAGGTAAAGGTTTCGTTAATGGATAGACAATAAAACTGGATACTACTACTACGTACTTAGAGGTAGTTGTTTACTGAATCAGAACCCTCTTATGCCCTCGGTATCGACTACCTTGGTTACCTAGGTACCTAGGTACCTTCCTATAAGATACTTTGAGGAAGCACCTGCTACTAAGACAGTGGACCTGATAGTAGATTTAAAGCAGCCAGACCACCTTGCTGGATCGAGAAGGTCGCTAGTCAGGTGCTCTCGGGTATACCGTATTACAGAGTACCTACGGTAGGTCCACTACCTGGTTGGATACCGTATTTTAAGCTTCCATTACCCGTGTATATTACACGTCACGGACACTGCCGAGAGGGATCTCCCAGGGATCGATGTTCCATGGTAGATGCATCCTTAGACTCTATAACTCGGTAGTATATATTGATTATATTGATCTTTAATACTCGTTATAGCGCTCAACTACTCAGTTATAAGCCCAGAGGTACGAGCATTAGAACCAGAGGTATGTAGTACACTTGGTTTGTCTGACGAGTCGTAACCAATGCGCAGCGTACGATCCACGCCGGTGATCACGGGATCGACTCCTAGCCTCATTTTCCTCTCATCATTACCTACTAGGTAGGTACCTGTTAGTTAGTGGTAAGTACCTGTTACCTACTAAGGTACCTTAGTACTAAGTAAGAGTGCTTAGTGCTGGTTATTACCTTCGTATTATTCGTACGATAACCACCACTCAGCAGCGCACGCAGCCTCCGACGGCGTGGCATTTACGACATCCTACACCAACCAGCCCCCACCCACCGGGTCGATAGGCGCGATAACTTGGCTGCGCAGGCGTCCCCTAGCGTATCTTGCGCTCACCGCTGCTTTGCTCCCCCACCGCTCTGGCCGGACACTGCTCTTTTGTCGACTGCCCCCCGGATTTTCACCACAAGCCCTTCCCTCTCAGGCTTCCTCGTGAACCATCTCGCCCTTGATCTCCCCCCTCTCTGTCGGTGAACACTCTCACTCACTGTGTCTCGCAGGACGGTGACGGTGACCATGACCAGTGTTGATATTACCAGCGACGGCCTCATCGGCCTTGATTACGACTCCAGAGCCTATCTCCAGTCCCAGTCATGGCCGGTACCGGTCGACCAGAGTGCTGCCGCTGCCGCTGCCGCCGCCGCCGCTGCTGCTGCCCAGCGGTCTTCAGATAACACTCCTCGAGATCTTTCCCCGTTGCAGACTACTGCCCATGCCTTTGACCAGCCGTCGGTGGCTCAGGACCCCAATCTGATGGTCGACTGGCATTTCCAGCCCTTACAGCCCCACGTCCACAACCACCACCACCATCACCACCACCAGTATAGCGCGCCGGAAGACACCCCTCATTTTTCCACCAGCTATGGCATGCCGTTACATTCGTCCCCGGTGGACCTGATTCCTGGTTCCCAGGCCCAGTTGGGCGCTGGTCTGCTCGATACTTCCTTTCTCCCCTTGTCCGCACAGGTCGATCTCGTTCCCTTCCCCTATCAGGACCTTCAAGCCGATCTGATGGCCTTTCCCGACGGTTTGCCCGAAGTGACCGGGTACGCAGCAGCCCAGACGATGCTGGGAGGCAGCTCCCCGACCGACACTTATCTAGAGGTGCGATCTCTCGGAAGTTCTAGCAGCGACAACGGCTGGAGCACCATCGAGCACCGCTCCTCCATCGACTTCTTCCCGGAACAGGGCATTTTCATCAACCCCACCCAGACCCTCCACGACCGGAGTCTGTCCGAATCCTCCTATTCCACCTCCCTGGGCAGTTTCGTCGAGATCACCAACCCCATCAGTTCGCCTATTTCGGACACACATCTCGACTCATCACCGTACCTCGGCAGCAGCACTAGCAGCATGGTCAACCGCCGCATCTCCTATGACAACACCTCCTCGCACGGCTCGCGCTCGCCCACCGCCGTCAGCCCCGTGGCCATTGTGCGACCCATCCCCGTGCCCTCCGCGAAGAAGGCTTCTTCGCCCACCCGCTCCGCCGCTTCCCAGACCTCCTCCTCCACCTCCCCCCCCAGCAGGAAGCCCTCGCGCAGAAGCCCCATCGCCGCCAAAACTGCTGAGACCAAGGTCCGCAAACAGTCGCAGACCGGAAAGCCCGAGACCGAGAAGAAGGTGGGCAAACGGAAGGGCCCCCTGAAGCCAGACCAGCGGAAACAGGCCAGCGAGATCCGAAAGCTGAGAGCGTGTCTGCGCTGCAAGTTCTTGAAGAAGACGGTAATTCCCTCTTTTCCCTTTTTCTTCCTTTTTCTTCCTTTTTTTTTTTTTTTTTTGCAACGCAGGTAATTTCTATTTACTAATCCTTTTTCAGTGTGACAAGGGTGAGCCCTGTGCGGGTTGCCAACCGTCCCATGCGCGGTTATGGCAAGTCCCATGTACCCGCATCGATATCAAGGAAATTGGGTATTTCATGAAGGACTGGAAGGCGGACTACGAGCGTCATATCAGTCTGGGCTTCTCGGTTGGCAACATCAAGGGATTCTCAGACGTCGAGAGAACCCTGTTCATCACCCACGGCTATGGTCATATTCTTCCCATCACTGCCCGGGAGGTTTACGTGCGGGACGACCATTGCTTCAACGTCGACTGGGTGGAGGGCTTCAATCGGGAGCCCACGCAGTACGAAGTCGAAACCTCCAAGCTGTCTGCCGGGATGGAAGGCATCTCTCATGCTATGCTCTCCGACTACCTAGATCGTCACATCGATGGGAACGGCACCTTTGAGAAATTCGTCGATGACTACTTCGAAGGCACTCCCTTCCTGACCCAAATGCTCAAGACCGCCTTCCGATACTACTTCCGTACCAAGCTCCCCGTCATCCGCAAGGCCCTCAAACTGATCATCGCCTACAACCTGACCCTCCATGTGACAATGGTGGAAGGCCTGGGCGAGGAGGAGGGCTTCAGGGGCAAGATCGTCGACGATTCGTCCAAGTTCAGGGGCAAGACCATGGCCCCCGTCATGATCAACTTCCAGGTGAAGTGCGCCATGGCGAACATGTGGCGCGAGCTGCAGAAAGACGTCCTCGAGGAGCTGTCCAGCCTCTACTCCAGTGTCTATAGTGGCGAGAAATTGAAGAACTGGCCCACTATTTTTATCCTGGCCTCCATTCTTCTGGCTGTCTGGGAGGAAATGCAGTTTGATTGCCACTACCGCGTTCCGGTGAGTACTTACCTTCTTTTTCTTCTTCTCTCTTTGCCATGCTTTCCGCTGACCCGTTTAGGATCCTGCTGCCGTGGAGAAGTTCTGCAATGACATGGAAACGACTCCTGTCGGTGTCATCGTCGGGCTGTTCCAGGCGATCTCGCAGAAACTACCCGCCTTCACCGATTGGGAAACGCAGAAGCATCACCACCTGCTCAACTCCAACCCGGACGTGTGCAGCACCATGACTGAGGTCCGCCAGCATGTCACCCAGCATGGTATGTCCCCCCCCCCCTTTCCTTCCCGATAATGTTGGTAAAGACTAATATATCTCTGCAGAGACCTACCTCCGCAGTCGTTCGAACTCAAAGTTCAACCGCAATGACTTTGACTGTCTCTCGAACAAATTCCTTTCCAGACTTGTGATCCGTGCGAACTAGACGACTAAAAGCCAAAAAGAGGGAGGACATACGAGACGTGATTTTGACTTGTTTTATGTAACGGCTTTTTCCCCCCCCCAACATCCAACACAATGGCAGTGCCATGACACGACGACACACACGACTCCCCATGAGACATGCCCATCACTTGTTATGATGATCCATTGCATTTCCAGAACCATGCATGATATGTCGAGTACCATCACTCTCTCCACACGAGTCTTTATTTTTCTGTTTCACGTCCTCCGCCATGAATCTCTCTCTCTCTCTCTCTCTCTCTCTCTCTCCCCCTCACACGAGACCTCCTATCACCTCGACTACCTCCTTATCTCGAATCACCGCCAATGCTATCTTTCATTATGCTTTTTTTTATGGACATTTGCCTGCCAGTCTCTCTGTTATACAATTTTTCTCTCTCCCCCTGTCTTGTCTGCCTATTTAGCTTCTTAAGTGGTATAAGTTTCTCGCACAGTACTTACAAAACACAGCGAATGACGAAAATCACGAATGTTACGAAGTGTACGGTTGCCCCCCCCCCGGTCATGAGTTGCGTGCTTCTGTTTGTTGCTCTGAGCGAATCACCGAGCCGGCTGGCGGACCCGGCCCATCAATCTTGTTTCGCTATATCATTTTTTCTTTTTGTCTACTGTGTTGTTGTTTGCGACCTTTTGCATGTCTTACAGCATCTAGCGTTTGTCTGATTATTTATTCTGAGTGTTGCTATCTATCTATCGACGGCTTGCCCAGTCAGTGGTATTGGGCCAGGAGAGGGAAACAGGACTGGAGACTGACTGGCTGTTAGCCAGTCTGAATACGACTATTTGAAACTTGGTATTTACTACTTGCGTAGGTCTCTCCCAAAGGAGTTGTTTTTCTCCCAGCGCAAAAATAGATACAGGCTGCCTACGAATAGATGGTTACTTAGTAAGTATACTGTCGGCACAGCCTCGCGGAGGATCCGAATCCGGCCAGTGAGATACCCCATTAGGCTAGGTGCCTTATTCCGTGCGGGCGTCCGACCGACGCAGCATGCGGACTACTCCCAAAGCAGTCTAGCGCAGAAGTGTCCCAGTCTCCGTTCCTCCGCCCCTCTTTTTGCTTCCTTTTGGGGTCGGGCTGGTGGACCAGGACAAGGGAGCGATAAGACATCACCACGTCATCGTCGCCTGGGGAGAAGAGTGACGCATTCGACAGATAAGAGCGGACGGGGTGAATGGGAAACGGGATCGCGAGAACGGCTTGTCTGAAATTTGAAGGAGATCCTACAGAGTGTACTGACAGATTAGATTCATAATCCGGAAGAAGATTTGACAGTCACTTGCCAGGTGGCGTCAGCGGCGGGTGCGGTCGTTCCTCAGGCCGGAACAGGTACGAGGACAGACTCACCCGAAGAGAGAAGCCAGGTAACTAGGGTATATATTGTAAAGAACATAATAAGCTGATGTCATTGTAAATACTAGGTAAAGAGTAAATAGGTAGGTAACTATAGCATTTATTACTAACTAGTAGTCATCGTACTCCGTAGTGTAAACGACAAAGAGGGGAAGCCATGGAATGTGCCAGGACTTGCGAGAAATAATCAGCCCAGAGAGAGCCTTTGGCCCCTGCCCAAAACTCTAGTGACTCTACCCTTTTGCATCACGTTATCCCGCCTTGTCCTGTGGCTGTCGCAGGCAACCAAACCAGGCCAACCTGACTAAGACGCTTCGCCTCCGCCTCCCTCCCCTCAACTCTCCGGTTGCCCTTCAGTACTTAATCTCCTCTTCCTTCCCTTCCTTCTTTCCCTTTCCCATCTTCATCCATCTAC